CCATCGCTAAACTTTCAATTATAGATTAGGTACGCTTATGCTTTTTTGAAATTTGAGTGTCAATTTCATTATGATTCAATCAACTAATATATTAGTACTCTTACGGTCTCATTTAGTTACAAGGAATCCGAATAGGATGAAGGAATCAGAATAAAAATCAATCAGAAGGAAGTCAATTGGAATAAGATGTTATTCTTTTATATTGTTTATTGTAAATTTAATGGAATTAGAATTATAAATACTTTGATGTTGTTTACTACAACTGTCTAAAATTGGAATAGGAATCAATTATATAACAATTATTATTATACCTCTTTTTTTATTTCAAATTAATACATTATTGGGTTAATCTTTTTTAATTAAAATAATAATAAATATTAATTTATTTTATTGATAGTACCTATCTATTATTATAACAATTTATTTAATATTAACAAATAATAAAATAAATTACATCAACTGTAATACTTTTTTTATTAGAACAACGGTCAATTAATATATTATTAAATTTTATTGCTCTAATATTTAATAATAATGAATTTTATTTTAACAATTTATTTTTATTAATTAATAATTAAAAAAAAGTTCTCCGAAGGGATAGTGCGGTTGACAAGAACTTAGGGCCTCCTAGTCATACTAACTTAGAGTTCGAAACTTCTGATGTGCTTAATACCAGGACCCTTAGGGACCGTTTGTTTCGAGGAAATATAATATTCACGTTGGATGGACATTTGGATTCCCACGTTTGTTTTGCGAGAATGTAAGATATCCGAGAATCTTGAGATGCCTGGGTATCTTACGATGCTCATACGGGAGGCATCTTACGAGTTTTTAGATGCCCTTTTGAAACACGGGTTTCCAAGATTCACATGTTGAGCAGATCCACTTTTTACATTTTTACCCTTTATTTTTTTCTCCATATATTTTCTTTCACAAATATTTTTTATTTTTCCTAAAAAATTCTTTATTTAAAATTTTTAAATTTATAATTAAAAAACAAATTAATGTATCCATGGTCTAATAAACAACATTATGTTATTAAGTATATTTGTACATTAGATTTACATATAAAATAAATTGTAATTAAATTATATAATATAACCATTTATTTTTAGCATTTTTGAAGGAATTACATTATTAATAATATTTATTATCATAAATATATAATTTTAAAACAACATTTTTTTATGACCAATATACCTGTGATATTTTTCCTCTTAAAAAGGTACAAGAATATTTATACTAAAAATATTGAGGTGTACCCGACTGAGAATATTTATTGCAATCCAATATTATTCGAAATATTTACTAGCTAATTTTTCTTTTTAGGATAGATAAATTTCACCCAAGATAGAATAATTATATGATTGTCTTTTTGAAAAACTATTAAAGTTGAAAATGAAGTATATATTAAATTAATATGAATTAATTTGTTCTACAAAATAACATATAAAAAAAATTAATTAATTAATTAAAAGAAATCTATTATATTAAATGAATTTATAAATTATATAAATATTTGAAAGAACATTTTTTGGAACATTCTATCAATTTAACGCATTCACAATATTAAATCCTATAAAACAAATGTGACTATCGAAATATTTTTGGATATCCTTATAAATTGTCCTACAAAACAAACGTGGTTTTCTAAAGATGTCGGAAATCTAAAATTTTGAACATCTGAAATTCTAGGCATTTATAGATGTCGGACATCTACATCCCAAAAAACAAACGATCCCTTAATGTCTCTAAGGTTAGGGCCTTGAGGCGGGCGCATGTGCTATTGGATATAGGGGAGCAAAACTCCGACTCCCAACTATAAAAAGAATTAATAACAACAAAGTTAAACTAAATGATTGAAAAATTATTACTAGTATAACTAAGAAAAATATTAAAATTGTGCAACAATTAATTAAAAACTTATAGGTCATGAGAGAGGGAAGAATAAAAGATGTAAAATTATTATTATAAAAGTGTGCCGACCCACAAAATAGATTTTTGGATACTTTTTGGGGGAGCAATTAGAGTGGGTCCCACCAATTCATTAATATAATTTAGTAAATGAGAATGAAAATTTTGAATCTTATGTCCTTTGAATGGAGAGGGTCCTAGATAAATTCATACTATTTTAAAAAATATATTGAGATTCAAGGTAAAAAGAAACATTTAATTAAAAAATAAAAAACATTTTTTTAGTACAATAAATGTGGGAATGATATCTTGAATTATCGAATTCTAAGAAATGAGCAATATATCTTAAAGGCTCATGTTGACAAAAAAAAAAATAAAAAATAGAAAACATTTTGGCTAAAAAATACATTTGATTATTGTACGTTTGCATATTCTATTTTTCAAATATAGATCCAACAGTGATCACTAATGATTAGGATCATGAATATTTTCAAATATAGATGCAACAGTGATCTTTAGGGGCAATGATCACAATGAAACTCCCCAATTTGAAGAGGTTGCCACAATATGGTTGACAGTTTTACACCATTAGATTATACGATAGAGAAACCGCAAAAGTACATCAAATCTATATTCAGTAGTTATTAGGTGCTGAAAGATTTTCAAATATAAACCTAACGATTATTAGGGGCAGCCACAACAACGTGGCGAGGTGGATCGTCTTGGTGGGTCAGTTGAGATTTCAAACTCCTTGTACCTCATGTAAACAAAACCAAACATAATGGTGGGGAAATTACAAGGCAAGCAAAGTGAATAACAGAAAATGGGGTAGGGTTTAGGTTTAGGTTATGTCAACATGTGATCCAATCAGTGTCAATGAATTCCATCCAAACAAAACCTTATCTCCAAACACTAAAACAGAGTTTAGGGTATGGCCCAATAATCCCTTTGTTGGGGCATAGCATTTGGGAGAAGCCATTGGTTTTTTAGACTTTTCACCACACACCATGTGCCTAGTGCCTACCTCTCAAACTTCTTCATTCCATTTTAGCATACAAAAGCTGACCCTCTTTGGTCTTTGGTTTTGTCCCAACAATGATTACAAGATCCTAAATATGAGCAAAACAAAGAGAAGTTATAAAAGAGCATTTGGAGATTACATATATGATTTGTAAAGGCTTACCTAGGGTGAGTGAGTTTATTGGATCATCTTGTCTTTTTTGCAGTCTCTATGGACTCGTTCGTAACGTTTTCGTTTCTTGTTTCGTGTTTTTGATTTTATTAGAAATTTAAGCAACTATCTATGGACTGGTTTGATGATGTTTCCATTTCTTATTTCTATTTCTTCTTTTTTAATTGAGAAAAATAGAATTGCATCACCCCAATACCCATGAATTCAAAAATGATAAAACAAAATCTTTACTTATGTTGGAACAAATATGAGAGAAGAACAAGAAATAAGAGACTTGTTTTTCTTGTTTCTTAAATTTCTGTACAATTTTGAGATTTTTTCTAAAATTGAGAAAGAAAAAACATAAATAGTTTGTAAAAGATTTAGTTTTCTTAAAAAAAAAAAGAAAAGAAACAAAAATATTATCAAACAGCCCCTATATTTCTCGTTTCTCATTTTTTAGAAACATTCTATAAAATTGTATAAAAATTTTAGAAACAATAAAAAACAAGTTTCTTATTTCTTGTTCTTGTTATTGTTTCCAATTTGTTTCAAAACATAAATAAAAATATATTTTATCATTCATGAATCTATGGATGTTGACCATGCAATTCTAGTTTACTTTATTAAAAATGAGAAAACATAAACAAGAAATAGAAACGTTACCTGAACCCCTATAGTTTCTATGCTATGGTATATGGGAGAATGCTACACTACTAAATAAATTCCGATATTATTTAGGTGCACTTTCATACTCTCTCTTTACTTCTGCTACACTAAAAAATTGTACAGCCTCTTGCAAAATAAAGTTGAGAAAGTAGGTCTTTTAAAGATGTATTAATGTAAGCAAAAAAAAAAAAAAAAAAAGTTCAACGGTTCTTATTAGCAGCATTTGCATGACTGGATACAAATATATATAAACATAATGGAAAAATAACAAATTTAAAATGTGACAAAATTTACCCTTCGATTGATTAATCAAATGTGTCAAAGGAATAAAAAAACATATATTTTTGGTACGACATAATTGATAAAATTTAGACACAGACGACATTAGAGTTATTCTAATTTGTAAATTTTGGTAGAATTATTTAAGGGTGGATTTTGTGCATTAATTAATTGAGAAACTTGATTTTTATTAAATTAGTGAGATTTTGTAGATCTTTTTTAATTAATGAGTGAATTAACAAACATTTAATAGAAGGATATTTATCTAAATTTAGAGTTAGGAATTTAAATTTATTACAAGATAAAAGAAACAAAGTCAATAGGATGCATGAATTTAAATTCTTTACATGGGAACTAAATTGTATTCTTGTATATGGATTGTCTAATTGATAATAACCTCATAATAACCAACTTATCTACGGTGTTTCTTTTTTTAATACATGTAAGGATGGGAGATCGAACTCAAACTCTTAGTTGGAGACATACATCAATTATCACTCCGCTATTCTCGCTTTGGCTTATCTGCAAAATTTCTTAATAGCAAGTCAAAATTTCTTTTCATCCAAAATTTCTGTCATGCAGTACTGTGACCAGAGAATCCATTGCTATAAGATGCTAAACAACAAAAAGTGATTAAGAATTGCATTTTAAAATAATGGTTATAGAACTATTTTAAATAATAAAAAAAGGAAATTTTGTTATCTAAAATACATAAAGAGAACTTTAATATATTTTTCAAAGACTATAATTTCAAATTATTGGATTTTAGACTCCTATATAGTAAGATAATGCTAAAAATTTCACTTGCTAAGACGTCTATAAAGACGTCAATTCGAAGTATAAAATAGTTATCATTATCTCATTTAAAACTTTTAAAACAAATTAATCCAACTAAATCTGAGAATCACATAATGAAATTGTTACGAATCAATCATCTAACATGTTTATACCCAACAAACAAAAAACAAGTTCCACAACAAACATGTTTCATTTTAACTGTTAAGAACTGCAAAAAGAAGCAACGTTAATAAAGACTGTCTGTCAAATACGGATAATCAGAGGTGCCAAGTATTCTGATAGCTAACTTAAACCCCTAGTAACTAACACCATATCCTTAGAATAGATAGAACCATACAGAAATCACAGAACATTATCCTTACAGTACATGTTTAGCGGCAGTGCAGATGCTGATTATACATCTAGATATGGTCTGGAGCAAATTGAGAGCAACATCACTTCATTTTGTGGATCATCATTCCTCTGCTTGGGGGCTGCAGCACCATAAAACATGAGCGCCTAGAATCAAAATTATGGAACAAGAATCAGAATATAACAAAACAAACTCCAACAACAAACCTGTTATATCCCCGATGCTTTGGGCTCTGAGTCCCACCATAATTGGGGCTATCCCCAGGTTCTGCGGCTGTATTTAGCCGCTGCTCGTGACCATTGTCCGGGTTTGACCTCTCTCTATCACGAGGAGGACTATAGCTGGAGCCACGTCCATCAGTAGGGCTCCCCCTTTCTCTCCCGTAAGGACTGCGACTTCGGTTGTGGACTCGGTCATCGTTTGCTCTTTCCCTCTGATGAGGATGGGGACTATGGCTAGGGGGCCTAACATGGTCACTTGATCTCTCTCTCTCCCGTCTATAAGGACTATGATTGGGGCTACGACCACGGCCATAATCAGGAGAGCCCCTGTTTCTCTGATAAGGACTTGGGCTACGACGACTGCCATAATCAGGACTGGCCCTTTGTCTCCTGTATGGACTGCGGGTAATACCATTGCCGTAATCAGGGCTTCCTCGCTCTCTTCTATAGGGACTTGGGGATCGCCGCTTTCTGTCAGGAGATCTATCACGATTCCTATCAGGACTGTACCCATTTCTTTTCTCGTCATCATCTCGAACAGCATATTCCACCGAAATCACTCGATCCATCAATTTGCTATACACAATAACAATCATCAAATGGCATTACAATGACTAAACATGTAATCAGTGGCCTATAACAAGTGAAAATATCAATGTGATTTCCTTCACATGGTTTCAGTGCAAAGGAGAAAAGAAAAGTGGAAAGCAAAGGGGGATTAATCAAACTTCAATATGATAACTGCAGTACCAAAATAAAATGCAAATCAACGAAGGAAATTTGACCTCATGTTTGTAAGCTCCAATGCTCTAGTGGCATCCTCCTGCAATTCATACTGGACAAATGCGAAATTCCTTCGAATCCTTACACTCAATATCTTACCATAAGGATCGAAGTGCCTCTCCAAATCCCTCGTCCTAGTATGATATGGATCAAAGTTGATAATAAATAAAGTCTTTGAAGGCCTTGTATTAGTAGAGGATCTCCTTGAACCACCTCCACCTCCAACTCCACCACCACCACCACCTGGTCTTCTAATGCCACGCTCTTGCTATGGAGCAAAAGGATTATTGACGGAAAGAGTTTAAGGTATAGTAAATAAAATCAAATAAAAGTAGCACAAAGGAAAAGAATTCATTTGATGTTGTGCCATATGTATGTATGCATATTACTTTGGTCCACTCAACACGTAGTCTGCGGCCCTTTCGGCCAAATTCTCTCCGGTCTAGTGCACGGATAGCATCCTCAGCATCTCTCTCATCCTCCATGTAGATAAAAGCAAAACCTGAGAACCAATCAAACAAGTAATTCTAAATAAACTAATTATGGCACCTGTGGGACACCAACAAATGATAAAGATGGGGATTTTCCCACCAAATAATTCCTCGAAATGCAATATTAATTTTCTCTCTAACGAATATTCAACAAACCACAAAACATCTTACCATAAGAAAGAAATTTTCGCAACCACCGTGAAATCTGTAAACTAAGTTACGAGTGAATTTAGCAACAGACCTTGTGCCATGAACTAAGTGGTGTCAATGAGCAATAATCCAAAACAGGATGTCACATGGTAGGTCTACAAATAGAGAGTGCCTTCTCCATCTATTCTGCAGCCTCAGTTGAGGTCGACAATGTTTCAAGCATGAAACAATGTCTGAAATTGTAGGCATGCAAAAGTCATGAGGAATGGAAAGCAAAGTG